GATGCGGCTGGCGGGGCGGGCAGGCAGCCCCGGCTGTCCCAGGTGCCCCGGGAAGCGTCCAGGACCGGACACCTCCTTGGGTGTTTCCCCCATCGTGTTTCTGTGGCGGGGAGAGCCGAGGTGGTGGGGCAGGACCAAGGGGAGCGGGATGGGGCAGGGAGGCAGTGCGAGGCCGGGGGGGCCGAGAGCTGCCCTGGAAACCCTCCCGCAGAGCATCCGCGGCGCGGAGGGGCCCTGCGCTCCCGCGGAAGGCGGAGGCTTGGCCGACATATGGAGGGACGACGGCTCCGCGTCCAAAAGGGACTGTTTTCGTTTTGCTCTACTTCTTAGGAAAATTGCTGTCCTGGCTGCTCAGAGGAGGACAGGCCGGCCGGGAGCCAGCGTAATTTTCCACCTTCCCCTCCTGAGCGATTTAACACGCACTTCGGGCTGGGTTTCTTCCCTCTCTCTGCTTCCCACTCCACCCCGCCCGTGGGGGACCCAGCTCTAGCTCCGGCAAAGCTCGGGGGGTTCTGGGGCTCCTTTCGCCGATTTGGGGTTTTGCTTCCTTTTCCCTTCAGGCCGGGGCCACGGCCGCGCGAGGAGAGCAGAGCTTTGCCCTGCGCGGGGCCATAAACGCAGATCTCCACCTTGTGCGTAAGGGGTCATGATTTTCGTTTGGGCTGATGCTGTTTTGAGGCAGGGCACCCCTAGAACACTTCCCCGACGGACACGACCCCCACGGTACAGTGCAACAACAGCCCCCGCCCCCGCAGTGCGCTCCGTGCTCCGCGGGACACCGCGCAGTCCCGCGCACACTCGAGCGAGCGCTCATGGCTGGACCCTGCTGCTTCCGACACGCGTGGTCAGCCCGTGGGTCAGAGCCATGCATCAGCAAAGCGTGCCCGCGTGGCACTTTTTGGATGGTTCCATAATTAAAAGTTGTTTTTCTGCAGCAGGTCCGGTCTCCTGGCTTCAGCAAAGGGGGCGCACCTAGGGGTTGGCGGTCTTGGTTTGGGCTTGGTTTGGCTGGGATTGCATTGTTTGGGTTTGGCTTGGCTTGGTCTGGTTGCATTCGTTGAGGTTTGGTTTGGTTTGGTTTGGTTGGGTTTGGTTTGGTTTGGTTTGATTTGGTTTGGTTTGGCTGAGTGAACTTGAATTTGGTTGAGCTGGATTGAGTTTGGTTGGACTGAGTTTGTTTGAATTGGAGTTGTTTGGACTGCGTTTGGCTAGGTTTGGCTGAACTGAATTTGGCTGGGTTTGCCTTGGGGGGCTTCTCTCTCCTCTCTTGACTCACTGCAGTTCTGTTTCTCAAAAGGCTTTCCTCTCTTCTCTTGTAGAGATGTGCTTGGGAGGACGTGTCTTCATTTTTGTAACAATTCCCAATAATTTATAGACTGAATCTGAGTCTATACAACGGTAATAAATCTGAAAATGAAAAGCTGGCAGAGACTGAACTTCACCACCTGATATATGGCCCAGGTGGTTTGGCATTGGCTGCAACCACCGCAACCAGTCGGGGATGGGAGCGCCTCTCCGAGAATAGGGACCCCCTCCAGACACCTGGGGGTGACACGGCGCTTGTCCTCTCGAGGACAGTGAGAGTCCCTCTCTCGGACGCATTTCTTCTTCATGGGGCTGTCACTGGCGTGGCCAGCGCTGATTTGTTTCTAGGCGCCATCCTTAGTTCTGGGGTTATTTATAGCAGGAGGAAGTGGTGCGGTTTTATGTGCGGGTTTCCATCGTTTTACAGATCCCTGACGCAGTCCCCAGCCGGGGTGCCGGGAGCGCGGTGGCTGCGCGGGCGCGGAGCGGCGGTGCTCTCCGGCCGCGCCACGCGGAGCGTTCCCACGCGAAGCTGTCCCGCAGCCCCGGGTCCCCGCCGGAGCTCCGCGGGTCCTGCTCTCCCCGGCCCTGCCCTCCCTCCGCCTCTCCCGGCCCTTCCCACGCCCACGCAGGTCGCGGCTCCCCAGGGACGTCCCGGCGGGGTCTCTGCGGCCAAGCTGCTGCAGCTCCTCCTCCTCCCCGAGCTTCTTATCCTCCCGAGGAGGTGGGAGAAAGGGGCACCCGAGCCCGGTGCTCCCGTCCTGCCCAGGCAGTGGGGCCGCTGGGCCGCTTCCAAGGCCCGGGAAGAGCAGCCGGCTCCAAGTGGGACATCAAGGTTTGCCTTGGGTGGTGACCTGGCTGAAAGGGGTGACGTGAAGTCAGGGAGGCAACGAATGACGTCACGCGAATGGAGTCGTGACGTAGCGCCCAGTGGAAGGAGCTGCCAGCCGAGATGTCCTCGCCATCCCGGAGCAGAGCGCGCACGGATGGGAGGGAAGAGGAGAAAGCGCAAATCTGGGGGTGACCGCCCTGGAGGCGCGCTCTGCTGTGGTGACATAAGTGTCGGGAGCAGCAATGGGAATAACCGGGAGGATTTGGTTCTGTGCTGTCGGACTGTGCCGGCTGCACAGATCACGGAGTGAGAGGATGCCCTTAAATCCACGAAAGGTGTATGAGACACACAGAGAAGACAGATACATGGTATGGATTAGATAGATATAAAATTAGATTAGATAGACCTATGATATAGATATATTCTCCCACTGCCGACCCGTGCTCAGGTGTGCAGTAAATGCCCGCCCACGCCACGGCCCGGGCGCGGACACTCATGGAGACGGTCAGGGCAGAACCAGGATCTGCTTCGGCTCCCCAGGGCCAACCCGTTACTCTCTGTTCAAGGGCGGAATTGGGAGATGTCTGCCCCGGTGACACCCCAGGAACTGAGGAGCTGAGAGCTGCGATCGCCTGGGAAGACAATCGGACCCGGCGTTACCGCGGTCGCCGCCTCGGCAGAATCACTCTGGTGCCCGGGCAGAGCCTGTCTTTGCGCCCAGCCGGGGGGAATTGAACCTAGAACGAATATTTTAAAACTAGATTTTATAGAACAGAATAAAAACCGTAATTCGGAGCATTATTAAAAAAAAAAAAAATTAAAAGGAACGAAAAAATGCTGCCTCAGGTTCGGAGGCTGCTGTGAGCAGTGGGTTTAAAATAGCCGGAGCGGAGCCAGGCTGTTGGCAGAGTCGTGGAGTCATAGAACCATCAAGGTTGAAAAAGACCCTTAAGGTCAACGCCTCCCTCCAGCACGGCCCGCTGGGCTCCGTCCCCCTTCTGCCGAGGGCGGGGGAGCCCCCGCAGGCCCATCCAGAAAATAAAGGGAAAAAAGGGGACGGTGAAGGGTCTCAGACACGGTGCATGTTTGCAGTGTATTCACCTCCCTCCTCCTTGGGAGAAAGGCCGCTCCCACCTCTTGCTTCTCACACTGGAGGAGGTCTCCATCCTTCCCGTGCGTCCTGTATCAGCTGAGCCCCTTGAGGCTCAGAGACCCTGGTAAATATTTGCATTTTAAACCACGTCCATCTTAAACTGCCCCGAGGTTGTCTGGTTCACCTCGGGTGCTCGAAATTCCCAGTCAGTTCTCCAGACTCATGAGCGAAGTTCAGCCAGGAGAGGCGAACAGGCAGAAGGACATTAACATATCACTAAAAAAAATCAACAAAAAGAAAGAGAGCTCGGGAGAGCTGATCGTGACAGCACCCACATGTGCATCCCCTGAACGGTGCTAAAGAGCAGAGGTGAAGGGGTTGGAAGCTTTGGGCTCCCCACGCCTGGGGTCCCCAGGCCTTGCGGGGTCTGCCGGGGGTGCGGGGCAGGCCTGACTCCATCACCTTGGCAAGGCCAGAAAAAGCCTGCACGGCTGGAACACTGCTTCCCTCCACTTTTCCATAAAACAGTTCAAAAGTTCTCTCCCACATCTTTACTTGATTTGAAAGCAAAATAGAGTGTCAGGATAGATCAGTTAAAATGAGCCGAGAAAGTAGAGAGGAGAGAGGGTCCTTTCCCTAGGCAGCCAGAGCCAGGGTCCTCCTCCCGTCTCCCTTCTCCCCTTTCCCCTCACCCCGGTACCAGCGGTTCCCACCTTCCTTCCCCGTGGGTTTGTCGCCAAGACACCGAGGTGTTATCCAGGAGGGCCGAGGCCGTATCCCGGCCTGCGTGGGCCGCACTGGGAACGGGCCGTGCTCCACACGCCCTGCCCGGGACAGGGTGCACCGGGGACCGATGCAGGAGAGGGGTCTGCCGAGGAGGTGTGGGGGTCTCCCACCCGCCTCCCCGCCGGCTGCCCAGGCACAGTCGCAGAGACCCCTCCCGAGAGTCACCGCGAGTTCGGCTGCAGCAGGAAAATTATTTGTTATTAATCATGTGCTGAAAGGTGATGTGATGGGAGAGATGGCACTGCCGCTGCTCCCGGGCTGCGCTCTTATAACCCCCGCAGCCTGGAAAGTAATGTTTAAAAAGGTTAAAACCAGTTCCGACAGAGCCCACAGCCCAAGCACCCCTCCAGGAACATCTTCCCCGTGGCACTGAAACGTGTGGTGGGGTCACTCAGCCCCGCGCAGATACGCTGAGGAGTGCGCGGGTGCCCATCCACGGCTGGGTGCGGAGGTTCCGTGGGTCGTGGGGCCCAGCCTGGAGGGGTGTGGGGATACCCGTGGGGCTGCCGTGCTGCGTGGGGGCGCAACCTGCGCGCTGCTGGCTGCTGGGGGATTACGGAGGGGGGCGAACTGACGGGGTGCTGGGAGCGGGCGGGGGTCTCCAGAGGATTGTTCACCTTTCCATTCGTTTGTGAAATATTTTAAATACATCACCGAGTTTGGGGGAGGAGGCGGGTGAAGAGAAGGAGGAGGGAAGGCGCTCCCGAAGGAGCCGCGGCCAGGCGGCGGGGGCCGGGAGGGGGCGGCGGGCCCGCGGGTCTGGCCGCGGACGCGCAAGGGGCGCGGATGGCGGGGAGTGCGGAGTTAGGTCCCGCGCGGCCGGGCTGGGCCAGCGCTAGATGGAGTGATGCATGAGCGAGACGGGGAGGTTTTAACCTTCAGGGGGAGGAGCCCCGTTTAACTACAGGCATTTGTTCTAGGGCAGGTCACTTTAATCTCTTTAGCTTTAAACTGTCCAACTCGCAACTCGCTTTTCTCTATAAGGGATCTTTACCACTTCCCTGCCTATGCGGCCGGAGCGCCGTGCCTCTCCCCAGCAGAGACAACCGCCTTCCAGGCATTGCCCAGACTGCTTCCGACACCCTTAAAATAATACTGTTAGTAATAAGTGGATTTGCTTTTGGTTGATTTTTTTTCTTCTTAAAAAAAAAAAAAAAAAAAAAAAAAAAAAAAAAAAAACCCTTTTTTTTTTTTTTAAAAAAAAAAAAAAAAAAAAAAAAAAAAAAAAAAAAAAAAAAAGCTCCTTGTTCCTTTCTGTGTGGAATAAACACCTGCAAACTCCCCCAGGCAGCCCGGCGCCCCTGCCATGGATTCCTTTAAAGGTGGAATGAATTTGGAGAGACTGCCTGAGAGCTTGAGACCCCAACCCTCCCATGACATGGCTTCCAGCTTCCATTTGCAAAGATCCTCGGAACCCAGAGACCCGATCGACAACTCAGCCAGTGAATCCTCCGACACGGAGGTGCCAGGTAACCCTCCCCCTCCCCGCGCCCCCGCGGCCCCGGCCCGCTCCCCCCGCGCTGCCTCCCCCTCCCCACCGCGCCTTCCCTCCGCGGGGCGGCCGGGGGTGCTCAGCCTGCGCCCCGCGCAACCGGGGGCGATGGAGGGACAGGGGTGAGCAAAGCTGCCGGTGATCGCGGCGGCTCCATCCCAGCCGAGCCCCGGGAATCGGAGCGGGGGGCAGGGGCCCTCCTGGAGCTGCCTCCCCCACCGTGCCCGGCGCTGACAGCCCGCCCGGGGGACGCATGGCTCCGTGGTCCCATCCCAGGAGCTGCTCTCTTTTATTTATTTTATTTATTTTTAAATAAAAAACTGTCGTTATTAATTGATGGGGTCGGGAGGAAGGGGGGGCTCTTCGGGGAGTGCGGTTTTGCCGGATGTTTCTGAAATAATGTCAGCTTTTGCCCGGGTTTATTTTCCAGCTCGGGTGGTGCAGAGCTGGAAAAAGATCTCTCTGTCAGCGAAAAAAAAAATTAAAAAAGAAAGAAAGGGCAGGCAGAGCGGGAGAGGCAGCGTGGGGCCAAGGCAGGCAGCGCGGGCCGCCGCGGAGGGGATGTGCGCGGCCGCGGAGAGGTTTTGCGTGGGGGCTGAGCGCTTTCCTCCCAGGAAAAGGGAAGGATCCCAATGCCCTGACCGCCGTATGCGAGGGCTACAGGGAAGGCTGTGCTCTTCAGATTGCATTTAATTAAAACAACAACATTTTTAGAATGACAAGGGAAAGGTAGAAGAGAGGAACAAAAGCTTAAAGAAGGAGTGTGATATTCCTTCTCCAGCAAGACTGTTTCAGAGGGAGTTTGTGTTTTAAATAACTTTAGTTTTCTAATAGCTATTGTTGCTCTTGGGAATTTTAACCTAGAGAGTGGCTGTTGTAAGAGTCGGTCCCGAAGTGGCACTCGGTGATAAAGAGGGTTTGGGTTGTGCCTCCCGGCCTGATTCGCAAACAAAGTTAGAGACCGGCGTCTGGAAGGGACTCTGAGATTAGAGGGGATTATTGGAGATTAGAGAGGGAGATTTGCTCCATTTTGCCCTACCCCTGTGTGTGACCCCTCGGTGCTGCCGGAGGGCTGAGGAGCTGCCTGCTTTTCTTCTCCGAGAATCTGCAAAATACCTTTAGATTTATTTTTTTTTAATGGGGAAAAAAATTAGTTACAAAAACCGATTAAAGATGCCTTGCCTTATGATTTGGAATTGTATCACAGCCCTGCGCTGAGGCCGGATTTTTAGGGAGGACCGGGAGAGTTAAAGTCAGTGCTGGGCGAGGGGCCGGAGCCCATCGGGACCCTTGCCGCTTCCCGATCGCTCCCGCTCCCTCTGGGCCCGGTTTATCCGAGCCGTTAGCAGCCGAAAGCGGGAGGATTTGTTTTGGCGGGGGTGATATTTGTTTCTGTTTCGCCGCCGCCGCCGGGCCATGCGGCTCGGCCGGTCTGGGACCAGGGGCCTGGGGCGATGGGTCTGTGCTGAGCGGCCTGGGACTCTCTGCAAACCCCGCAGAGCCATCGGGCCCTTTGGGGTTCCACTGAGCAGCTGAGGTTCGCTCGCACCCTCACCCCTTTCCCTGTGCAGGGCTCCCAGCAAGGTGCGATCCAAGGGTGACTTTGCAAGGACGAGTCCTCCCGGGCTCTGGATTCAGCACGCGATTATTTTTAGACTCCCGCTTACCTCGCAGAGGTCGGGGCTGTAGAAATGCCCCCGGACACCCCGCGGTGGGAAAAAACCCTCCGAAAGGGGCTTTTTAAAAAACCCCAACTCTTTAAAGGAGGAGAGAAAAAGCTCTAAAGGAGAAAACTCGCGGCGGTTTTTCCCTTCTGCCGCAGCAGGACCGAGGCCGGGGCTTGGCCGCGGCCCCCGGCCCTGCCCGGCCCGGCCGCACCTTCCCCGGGCCGCCGGGCCCAGCCGGGCTGCACTTTGGTTCAGGGCCTTCAGACCCTCTCCGAGCGCTTCAGCCGGGACAAAGCGGGCCGAAACAGGGCTGGGAGAGCCGGAGAGCCCGTTACGAAATAGGAGAGGGGATTCGCAGGGCCGGTGTTGAATTCCTGCTCCCAGCCCGCGCAAATCCCGGCCGAGAAAACCCTCCTGGGTGGTTTCTTTTTTCTTTCCTTCTTCCGATATGATTTTTGCGGAGGGCTTCGCTCAGCCCTGTGTTAAAATAAACACCGAAATCCTAAAAGATGAAGAATAAAATAATTATGAAAAGAGAATGAAGTGGGGGAGCGGACGGGGCCTTTTGCAATTAATTGCTCCTGGGTTTTCCACCCTTGCCCTTCCAAAGTTTCCTGTCGCGGCCGAGCACAACAAAGACAATGGAGCAAAGATCACGCTTTGGTTTGGAGGGAGCGAGAAGGTGCCGTAGAAAGGCGGAGCGGCCGGTGATACGGGGACCCCGCTCCCCACGGATGCAGTCACCCGTCAGGCCCGCTCTGAGCCGCTCTGGGGGTCCCTCCTGCCGCATCCCCGGTGCCGGGGCCCGGCAGGGCTCCTGCTCCTTCCCCAGCCGCGCCGGGAAAGGCCGGGATGGGCTGCGGGCGCTCGCTGGGTGCAGGGCCCAGCGGGACACGAGTGGGTGCCCCTCACGGGTGCCTCCGGTGGGGTGGGCAGCGCTGGGCGCGGGGCGGGGGTGTCTGCCTTTGTGTGCCTGTACTGGGGAAAAAAACTAAAGCAAAAAAACACAAAACAAAACAAAACCAAATAAACCAACCATCCCCAACCCGACCCCTCGCAGAAAAAGAGCGTAGCGGCGAGCAGAAAAACGAAGACGGGGCCGCCGACGACCCGGCGAAGAAGAAGAAGCAGCGGCGGCAGCGGACGCACTTCACCAGCCAGCAGCTGCAGGAGCTGGAGGCCACCTTCCAGAGAAACCGCTACCCCGACATGAGCATGCGGGAGGAGATCGCCGTCTGGACCAACCTCACCGAGCCCCGAGTCCGGGTAAGAGGGGCTGCTGCCCCGCCGGGAGCCAGCTCTGCTCTGGGGCCGCCGGAGCCTGGGGGGCTCGGGGGAGCTGCCCCTTCTGGGACAGCGCTGCGACGGTTTGCTCTGGGCTGGGTTTTAATGACCAAAATTGGGATCCAGGTCGGAGAGGAGAAATTCAGCTCTCGGCCACGGAGAGATGCCTCCCGGAGAGGGGAGCGACCGTCTGCCTTGCCCTGGGGACCGGTTCGAAAAGTGGGGGCCCGCGGTGCAGGGAGCAGCGAAAGGCCGGGGTGGGGAAGGGTCTGACGGTGGGGGGAAGAACCCTCCAGACTGCACGGAAAGCGTCGCAAGGATGGAGCAAAATCCCATCCAAGCAATTTCCCCTTGCTCTGGTTATTCCCAGAAATCGCCACGGCCTTCTCCCAACAAACCACTGCCCCTCGCTATGGCGGCAGCGGGATGGCGAGCTCCAGCCCGCACGGTGCGGCCTCGGTGCCGGCCCCTCCCGGCCCCGCGTCCCCCACGGCCGCGGGCTGCCTGGGGAGGCCGAAAGACACAAACTTGTACCGCGAAGGCGATCGATTTTTACACGCCTCGGAGCCTATGCCATATATATATATATATATATATATATATATATATTATATTTTATATGTATTTATATATGTGCTCCCGTCTTAGCCAGACCTCGAGGGGTTGGGCAATGTTGGTGCACACGGCGAGAAACATATATGTGTGTGTATGTGTATGTGTATGTATATATATATATACACACACACATGTATATGTATGCGTGTGTGTGTGCTTCGGCAGTTCCTTAGAGAGATTTATGAGCGAAAGTTCCTGGCAAAGAACGACCGGGCCGAAGCGGCTCGGTCTCTGTGGGTCTGTCTCTGTGTCTCGGTTTGCCCACCTCCCAAGTGCTTTTTTCCGCCCGAGACATTTCCCCGCGCGGTTTCAGCAGTGGTCGCACACCGCGGGACCCTGGGCTAAGCACAGAAGGAAACGGGAACTGCGCAGCAAAGCCCCACCGCACGGAAAAGCCGCTTTTTCATTTTTTCTTTTCGTTTTTTGTTTTTAACTTGGCAATTAAACCTTGAATGACCAAATTGGATTACAGAGATTCTGCTTTAAACATTTGAAAAGTAAACACCCATCTGAAACAATTGCGTCTGAAAGCATTGTCTTAATTGAGTTTAAAACAAAACAAAGCCTGAGCATTAATACTGGTTGAATATTTCAGGGAACAAATATAACTAAAATATGAGTTGCAATTAACATAATTTCGTTCTCCTTCTGTGTGGAGATGTTTGGGTTTGATGTTTTGAGATGGCAGATTGCAAATCTAACCTTAATTTGCTATGAGGGCCTTCCTTTAAAATGTCTAGGAGCCATAATTAAAACTATTACCCTCATTTTCAGGAAATTCCTGTCTGGAAGCACCTTCCGAGGAGTATATTACAGGTTTTGAACATGTTGGCTTTCGTTTCCTATTTATACAGGATTCTTTTTATTATTGTTATTTTTTAAAATAGACTCCGCCATCCGTTCCCCCACGGAGTTTCCATCCTTGAGCCCGGTATTTAATAATAGTTGTGCCATTTCTGCGCCGGGAGGGGAGGCCCCAGGAGCCGCCCCCCGCCCCCACCCCGGCTCCGGAGGGAGCGCAGCCTGCGCGGGGCCGGGGCCCCGGTGTCCGCAGGGAGCTCCAGGGCCCCGGCTCGGTGGGAGAAATCCGGGCTGCGGTGGGGAGGATGCTGCAAGGCAGGCACGCAGGCTGGGCGCAGGCAGCGGCAGCAGGATGCAGATTTTAAACCAATTTTAAAGATTTTTGAAGCTGCCCGGCTTCAGTCAGGGGGGATTCAAATGCTTTCCGAAGGCTATATGTAGAGATAGATGATAGATAGATAGATAGATAGATATGATTTTTTTATATCATGACTTATAAAAATAATCAAAGACTGCAACCGGTTTTCGCATCAAACATCGGGACCAGCCCCTCTTCTCTGTTTCCTAGTTAGGGCTGTAAATTCTCATTAGATATAAAGGCAGAGGCTGCATCTATCCAAGGGCAATGCGGGGATTGAATTTTTTTTTTTTTTTTAACCTAAACATACTAATCTAATCCCTTTTTTTATGATCTGTAACAGGGGGCTTTTATTACACAGCATTAGCGTTCGGAAACGCGGCAGAGCCGGGGCGAGCCGGCCCTAATCAGAGCGGGCCGTGTCTGCGCCCCCCGTCTGGCTCCGGGAAAGGGGCGGCGGGGCCGGGGGCGCGGGGGGCGCGGACACCAGCGCAGGCACAGGGGCGGCTGCGCGCATCCCGGCCGGCACATCCCGCTGAGCAGAGAGGGATGCGCGCAGAGCCCGCCGTGCGCGCAGGCAGCCTGCGGGGCGGGGGGCGGAGGGGACTGGCTGTGCGGGTCGCGGAGCCCGCTCTGGGGTCCCGGAGGAGCTGGCCGGGCCGGGGGGAGCGGGCGCTGGGCCGCGGATACCTGCGCTCCCCCGCGCGCGTCTGCGCACCGGCGGTGGGGTGCGGGGCTGCTGCGGCCCCGCACTCACCCAGACGTGTCGCTCCCCCCTCCCCACGCAGGTTTGGTTCAAGAACCGCCGAGCCAAGTGGAGAAAGCGGGAGCGGAACCAGCAGATGGACCTGTGCAAGAACGGCTACGTGCCCCAGTTCAGCGGGCTGATGCAGCCCTACGATGACATGTACGCCGGCTACCCCTACAACAACTGGGCCACCAAAAGCCTCACCCCGGCGCCGCTCTCCACCAAGAGCTTCACCTTCTTCAACTCCATGAGCCCCCTCTCCTCGCAGTCCATGTTCTCGGCGCCCAGCAGCATCCCCTCCATGAACATGCCCTCCAGTATGGGCCACTCGGCCGTGCCGGGCATGGCCAACTCCGGCCTCAACAACATCAACAACATCAGCGGCTCCTCGCTCAACTCGGCCATGTCCTCCCCGGCCTGTCCCTACGGGCCACCGGGCTCGCCCTACAGCGTCTACCGGGACACTTGCAACTCCAGCTTAGCCAGCCTCAGACTGAAATCAAAGCAGCACTCCAGTTTCGGCTACAGCAGTTTGCAAAGCCCCGGCTCTAGTTTAAACGCCTGTCAGTACAACAGTTGACGGACTTGACACAAACCACCTCCGACAAAACACCGCCGACAAAGCAAAGCAGAAGCAAAGCGACGTTTAACGGAAAAGAAAAAAAAAAATTTAAACCCGATGATGATTAAAAGCAAAACCCAAGCAAGTGAGAGAGGGAAAAAAATAAAATAAAGCACACACACACACAACCCCCCGTCCCCCCAGAAAAGCCCCAAAAACTCCTCGGACTTCGACTGTCTAGGAAAAAAAAAAAAAAAAAAAAAGGGCAAAACAACGATGCAACCAACAAAACAGCGCTTTAAAAATATTTTTAAAAAATTTTAAATAAATATATATAACTCCATCTAAAACCGTAAACGGACCAGAAAACTTTTGCAAGAGACACCGAAATCTGGTACATGGATGAGTTGCAATTTTTTTCTCTGGATTATGCGGGTTGTATGTGTTTACTTGAACTTGCACAGGAGTCGGTAAGGCGGCCGCTGCCCCGCGGGGAGGGCGGCAGGAGGGGACGCCTCGGTGGTGAGAGCTGGTGGGACGGTTCTTGGCCGCTTGTCGCACGGGAAGAGTTTGGTTAATGTTTACCACTGAGAAACAGAATCACACTCGGAAAAAAAAAAAAAAAAAAGGTTGGGGGAAGAGGGGAGGGGGAAAAAAACCCAAATCGCAGAATAGAATCTGCAGGGGGGAAAATGGTTGAAATATTAGGTATGAAACTATTAAAATAATAATGACAAGGGTCAACCACTTATATAAGGTTATATTTATATCTACCGTTGCATTGTGCCGGATCATTGTCCTTGGCCGTTGAATAAACTGTTTTTAAAATGCATGATTCTTGATGTTTTTTCTTTAGTTGGAAGCTCTAATCCAGTCATTCCTGATACTAAGCAGCTCAAGGTTCCTACCTCTTCATCCTTTCCAAAAGACTGCAGTATCCCCCGTTGTGAGAGAGCAGAGAAACCCTTCAGCAATGCGAAAACTGTTCATCTTTTTCCCCATCCAAAGTCTTATCCTGATAATGAAATTATCATTCATCTTTATTTAAATGCAGGGGGTGTTTTTTCTCTTTGAAAGGTAAAACGGAAAACCAACCCCCATTTATAAAGTCTCGAAAACAAGACGAAAAATGGTTTGTTATGAAGTGATTTCAGATACTGCATCTCTGCCAGAGAAACAGAGAGCCTCGGCGTCCGGAAAGGTTCTTAGCAAAGCTGAAAGTGTTCCTTGCTTTTCTAAATGTGAAGGAAAAACAAGGAACCAAAAAAATTTCTTAAGGTGTTATTATCTTAAGGTGTTATTATGTAAATATAGATACATTTACAAGTGCTTGTTGGAAAAAAATAAAAACAAACAAAACATGGAAATTATAAATATGATTTTTATTAATACGCATAAAAAAGGCATATGAAGTTTAATTGCAGGCATATTTGTTGCTTATTTTTGTCGATACTTATTACCTGTAGATGACAAAGAGACATAAAATGCACACGGTACTTCTTTCCCAGTGTATTTCACACCTGTGGTAAACGTTACGCTGGATGTTTCAATTATGCTGTTGTGGATAAGGATGCAGTATATATATTGTTTTATAAGTTATGTTTTGTGATTTTTTTTTTCAAAATTAAGAGCATGGGAATAAAAAAGAAAACTTAAAAAAATACTAAACCGAAACGAAATCTAGAAATGCCTTTAATGTTTTTTTCTGGCTGTGTGTAAGAGAGCTACTATACAAGAAGAAAAGCAACTTTCTGTCCCTCTCCCCGAGGTGACATTTTGGGGAGGTCCCCCCGCGCTTCCCCCGGTAGTTGCGCCCTGTCCCCGCGTCCCCCCCAGCGTCCCGACAGGGAAGGAGCCCCGGGGCAGCCCTGGCAGAGGAAACCTTCCCCAGGTCCGATTTTATGGCAGACTGTTACCGCTGTGTGCCGGAGCTGGGGATCCAGCCCTCCTTGCCGCTTCATTGCTGCGTCCCTCCAAATCCCAGCGTGGTCGGGTTTTTCCTCCCCACAGAGTTAACCCCGCACCCTGCAGCCCCCCCGGTGGTCGCAGTCCTGGCACTGCTCCTTCTCCCGCATCCGCTCGTCCCGTTTGGCTAAGGTGCGTTTTTCTCTTGTTTCTCCAAATTCCCCGACATTCTGAATTTTAAAGCTTGTTCGATTAATTCTCCCTCTCCTTCAAGTTTTTGCAAGCACAAAACCCTCTGATTTAATTGCTATTTATTTACTATTTATTAACTATTGCGATTACTTATAATGTTTTGCCCCAAATGCCATAACTGATACAACGAATCGATGAAATATCCGGAGCCGGCGGCAGGAATAGCCATCGCCGGGGCCCTTTCCCGGCCCAAACGCGCTGTTTGCGCTGCCGCGGATGGCTCCGCTCCCCGAGGACCGCAGTTCCCTGTGCCCCGGGGGCTCCCGCGCCCGTCCCGGGCTGGGGGGCTGCGCAGGGCCTTTGTTCCGAGTCTCCCCGGCTGCTCCATCCCTCCCCACAGCCACGGGAGTGTCACCAGAGCAGCACAAGGACTGATTTTCCTCCCTTTTCCAGGCGGGAGCGGATCTGCCAGCCCTCCGCTGGGATTTTATCCAGGATTTTAGGTGTTCGTTTTCTCCTGTTCCTGGAGGTAGCACCATTAGCCCGAAATCAGAGCGCGGCGTTCGCGTTTTGCCAAACCCTGCCCCAGGTTTCAGTTGTTGTTAGAGTCCTGAACCACCCAGCCCCTCCCGAAACTGTGTGCAGGAAAGAGCTGCGGGACCAGGGACACAGCCTTCTGTGCTGCTGTCCCTCACCAGTGTCCCCCCGCCCTGGGACTGTCCCACGGAAAGCTGATCTGCTGCTGCTGGGCGACATTTGGGCATCTTGACACATTTATGGCTCAGGGAAAGGAAAATTCCAGGGAGACACCGAGCAGAAAGCAGCTCCTTCACCTTCGCTGTGCACTTTTAGGGATGCCCTGCTTCCAGCAGCCTTTGGGTCTCCCCCACAATGGTTAGAGCTTGAATTATTCGGGGTTTTGGAGTGTTTGAGGCGCGGCTTTGGACTGCCTTGCCCAAGTACATTTTCCTGAGCCTGCCTTTGGAGGTGCCCAGGTGTGTGCCCACGCTGGGGGCAGCGAGAAAGGCTGTCATTTAATGGTTCATTACTCCCCACAATCCCCACGGGGGGAGGGCAGTATAAAATACCGCTCACCACCACCCTTCTCACTCTGGTTTTTGAACTCCCCTTGCCGGCATCTGGCTGGTGGGTGTTTCCACACACCGGAGGCGATGGTTTTCCATCCCTCGCCCTGCACATTCCTCCCGGTGGTTTCCAGTGTGTGAAGCTCGAGCTGGAGTTGCTGAAGCTGCATCACTTTCATCCCGAGAGGCTCCGTCCCGGTAGGACCCTGCCTTCCCGCGGGTGCTGCACAGAGTCCCCAGCCTTCTGCCTACTGATTGCAGGCTTTGTCAAGGCAAGCAGAACCTTGGAGCCAGAGAAATACCGGAATCAAGTTTTCCATTTGTTCTGGGTGTGCTGGCTTACCTATTAGCATTTCCAAAGCAAAGCTGCCTGTGGAGAGCTTTGCCTGGGTTTGCTTGGGAATGCTGCGTGGTCCTGAGAGGTCCCAGACCAACCAGGAGTGGCTGCACAGTGGAGCTCTGGTTGCACCAGCCCAGATGAAGTTCACAAATACTTTATGCCTCAGACTGCGCAGTCCGTTCAAGATTAAATGTCTTCTAATAAAAAGCTGTGGTCAGTTTAATTCTAAATTGCATACTTCTCTTTATCTGTGGCCTGGAACTCAGCAAACTAAGCAAAGTCCCATTTAAATTAATAGGATGCTTCAGTAACGATTTTAATGGGGTTTTGTATAATAAAAATAACACCTAGAAATGCCCTAACATTTTGCTGCAATCTTGCAACAAAAGTCAGTGGAACTGGGATAATAAAAATACAGGTTTTATATGAAACCTATGAAGGGTTTGTCATTAACTTCAGTGGCACAGTTTCAGGCCTTATTATTTTAGTATATGCTTGTATAAGTAAAAATTACTTTATCAATTAAATAAGAATCTGGGACTTTTCTGTTTCAGTCTGGCAACTTGTATGTAAAATATTTAGTTTGATGTTATCAAAACAGCCAACTTATAAACCAGCCCATATACAAAGACTGAGAACAAACAAAAACACAAAACTACACAGTGTTTTTCTCAGTTTGCCCATCAAACAAAGCTGAGTTGTTACTTCTAAGAAAATACTTCATAACCCTCCTTTAATCTATGAAAGAGAACAGTTCTCTGCTCAGCCTCATAGAAAACAGTAAAAACCTCCTTCAAAGTAAAATGTATTTTAATTAACAGAGCTGCAAAATAACATCCACAGCTATGCAGCAAGCCTCCTCTGCGGCTCACCATTGTGTGAACTGCTTGGACAAGCTGCTCTTATTAACAAGCCATGGGCTACCCTCTGTTCCAAACTGATTAAGCAGTAGGGCTGCAGGCAGATTTTCTATCAAAAATGTTTCAATGGCATCCAGCCTGTTCTTCTGCAGAGTGATGGGGTTTTTTACAGGAAAAAATAATTTGTTTATCCCCAACTCCAATTTCTTTAATGAAGAAAGCGTACGCACAAAAATTTTATTTACCAAATGACTTCCCAACAAATAAAAAATTCTCATAGGACATAAAAAGAAGAAAAATGAGAGAACATATGTATTTGATTTTTTTCCCCCTTCTTCACTCAACCATTTCTTGCAGAAAGCCAGGTAACAATGTTCAGTCTCTGCTAGAGACAAGCAAATTTGCTCACAAATCTTCCCAGGAGATCAGTGGAGCTGAGCGAAGGCTTGTGCCCGGGGGCAAACCCCGCCGATGTAAATGAGGAGCCCAGAACCAGCTCCTCCCGACACCTCTGCTGATGCAGCCCTGCCATCCACGGCAGCCTGCGATTCCTCCCTGGAATAACATGTAAAACAGCACTCGCTCCGGGTTGCTAATTCAAGTCTTGCAGAGCAACTTCAGACCTCCCCCGTCAGAAAAAAAAATCCCAGAAAAAATCCTATGTGCTAATATGCAAAACCC